TTACCAGACTGCATTGCGCCTCCTCCCAGGAGATAATACTGTATGTAGGTACCGGGTTGAGAATCTCAAATATCGCAAAGGATAACACTGTTCTCTGTTATTCCATATGCAACAGACAACACACAAAAAATGGGTCTTAAATTTGCAGCAAAGTTATGCAGAGTGGTGCTGTTTTCCCTTAGTTCTGACGGATTCCTTCAGAAATGGAGATTAAGCCCAGGGTTTGCATGGATTTTGATCGCCATCGAAGACTTCAGGAAGTAGTTCTAATTTCAGTATAGGAATCCCGTCTGTTCATTTGTCAACCCGAAAAGAGTTTTAAAGGATATATGGTGACTACGATTATACCAAGAGATGTGCCTTTTGGGGGGGGGGCTGAAGTTAAGAACTTGAATTCGAAATCGACATTCTTCTTCTCCTTCTTATCTTCCTCCTTGTAGGCTCCTTTGCGTTTTTCCATTCGAAATAATTCTGAAATTATAAATATTATAGACAGTTTGCAGGACTTCCTGGACGGGGATAAGCTCGTTGCAAGGCCGCTACTTACACATGACAAAACAAACATGAGAAAGACAGACATCCATGCCTTCAGAGAGATTCAATCTCACAATCCCAGTGTGTGAGCGGGAGATGGCATTTAGTGCCTTAGACCGCGCAGCCACTGACTGGCGAATATGACGTTTCCTTTAATAGACTCGGTTTATTTGGGCATAATTGTGGCAGACTGTTTTCTAAACTTGTTTAACTACCGGCCCTTCGTTTATACTTCTATTACCACACAAACTTATATTTTAAGTCGATACACGAACAATGACAAGTCCATGGAAAATTTCGCGATCTTCAGTTTGGAAAGGCAGATTTTGAAACGAAATGAAACAACTCTCACAAAACTGTAAAATTTATACTACATTGGAAATATTTATACTGGGGCAGAAAATTATCAAACTTCTCGTCTGTTGTCCAAAAACATAAAAATTAGAATATACAAAAATATAATTTTGCCTCTGGTTCTGTATGGGTGTGAAACTTGGTCTCTGACATTAAGGGATGAACATAGACTGAGGGTGTTTGAGAACAGGGCGGTGAGGAGAATATTTGGACCGAAGAGAGATGAAGTGACAGGAGGTTGGAG